CTATGAAACTGTAAGACCGTGAGGCTCGGAGCGTCGGAGCAGGACTTCCACTGTTCCTCTCACATCCGAAAGAGAAATACTCATAACTGTTGATGAAAACACAATCGTTCACGTGAATGTCTCCACTGTGGCGCAATTAAAAGTGATTTGATCTTTTCTCGCGTTATAAACATTAAGAGGACAAATGTACTGCTGTAAAACCTGTAATGTCACGCTGCACTTGATGAGCCACGTGTTGTTGTGTGTGGTGTTTGTGTGCATTTCGAAAAATAGCAGATCTTACTGTAAGTGTGAAAAAAAAGTGTTTAAAATATCATTCATAATCCGTGTATCATTCGTTCATTCATTTTCAATATAAAACCAAAAATAAGAAAAAGAAAAAACAACAGTTTTCTTCATTATTTGTCTCCAAAACCAAAATGTTTTTGATTTTGTGTTTAAATGAAGAATGGAAAAAACGGATAATGGTCGTTTCCTGTTTACTTGACTCCCGTGACTGTGATACTGGACTTTTGCGCTGCATACGGACTGAACCAGGACTGATCCAGGTCCGGGACCAGACCGGGACGAGAGCAGAACTGAGACTGAGACCAGACCGGGACCAGAGCGGACTCCGAGCTTTGACTCCGAGCCTCCACGGTGTCCGAGCCTCAGCTTCGAGCTCTGGCCCTACTGTGGGCTCTGAGCCTCCGGTCTGGTTCCGGTCTGGTCCTGACCTGGTCTCGGTCTCAGTCCAGGTCTCAGTCTCGGTCTGGTCCCAGTCTGGTCTCATTCTCAGTCCCGGTTTGGTCCCGGCCTTGTCCTGCTCTCGTCTCGTCTCAGTCCTGCTCTGGTCTCTGGTCCCGGTCTGATCTTGGTCTCAGTCCCGCTCTGGTCCCGGTTTGGTCTTGGTCTAAGTCCTGCTCTGGTCCCGCTCTGGTCCTGATCTGGTCCCGGTCTGGTCCCGGTCTGGTCCCGGTCTGGTCTCGGTCTGGTCCTGGACCTGGATCAGTCCTGGTTCAGTCCGTACGCGCTGCAAAAGTCCGGCATCGCAGTCACAGAAGTCACGTAAACGGGAAACGACCATTATCCGTTTTTTCCATTCTTCATTTAAACACAAAATCGAAAACTGAAAAAAACGAATCATTATCCGTTTTTTTTATTTTGGTTTTGGAGACAAATAATGAAGAAAACTGTTTTTTTTTTGTTTTTTTCTTATTTTTGGTTTTATATTGAAAAACGAATGAACGAATGATACACGGATTATTCATGTCATCTTTCATACTTCTCACCTCGGCTCATGTGATTCCTCTTTAAACACATTTTAAACCATTTATTTATTCATTTTTTTAACTTTGTATATATTTATTTTTTAATTATGTACTTGTTTATTTATGTATTTATTTATTAGTGAAAGAATAATGGACACAATTGTAAAGTTTGTGTGTTTGTAAAAGCGCTTCACAGGACTATTGTTATTAACTGAGTGGTTTTAATTGAATTATTGCTCGATTTTTTTTCTTTTTCTTTTTCCTTTTCCAACATAATAAAAATTCAAATCACATGAGAGCACAGTTAAAGTTCACGTGTGCGGAGGTGAGCTTCGGCACAGAACGACTTTACTGATGTTAAAGAGCAGCCCCATGGAGCTGTCAATGAGAAACCTTTTACTGATCGAGTTTGTGCGGACGTCAATAACGGACGAAGGTCAGAGCCGAGGAAGAGAAAAGGAAGAGGAGGAAGAGGAGAGAGAGGGATCAGGAAAAGGCGCTGGAATAGGAAAGAGAGACAGTATTTAATTGTAGTGAGGAGGAGGAGGAGAAAGAAGTGGTACAAAAGTCCTCAATTAAGAGTGAAAAAAGAGATTTGGGAAACTACTACTTAACCTGAAACGAGTTGCCCTGTGTAATTTTCTCCATGGAACAAACAGCACCAGGCCAAGTTCCTGAAGTAAACAAGTCTGCAGAGTAACAGATTACATGTACCGCAGTTACGTAATCAGAGTACAAATGATGAGTAACTGTATTCGGTTACAGTTACTGTTTCAGTGAGTGGTAATTGGATTACAGTTACTTTGTTGGAATAAGTGGATTACACAGAGGGATTTTCCTGTTTTCACATTTTGGGCTAAATCCTTTTTTTATTTTTTTGGTAATTCCACTCATTGCCGGACACTAAACCAGGACTAAATCAGGATTGAACCAGGACTGAACCCAGGTCTAAACCAGGACTAAAACCAAGTCTAAACCAGGGCTAAAACCAGGTCTAAACTAGATCTAAACCAGGACTAAAACCAAGTCTAAACCAGGACTAAAACCAAGTCTAAACCAGGGCTAAAACCAGGTCTAAACCAGGACTAAACCAGGGCTAAACCAGGGTTAAAACCAGGTCTAAACCAGGTCTCAAACCAGGTCTAAACCAGAACTAAACCAGGACTCAAACCAGGTCTAAATAAGGGCTAAAATCAGATCTAAACCAGGACTAAACCAGTACTTAAACCAGGTCTAAACCAGGTCTAAACTGGGACTAAAACAGGCTTTAACTTTAACTAAAGCATGCTGCGCAGACCTTGTCTTCTATCAATAATATTTTTAATTTGGTTAAGTAAAGTCTGGGCTTTTTATTTTCTTTTAACAGACAAAACATCTTATGTGAAGATGTCCGAGTCTTTGCTTCTCTACAGCAAATCAAGCAATCCAAAGTATTCAGATTACGTTACTCACTTTAAATAATTTAATGGATTATGTTACAAACTACATTTTGGGGTCTGTAATCTGTAGGGGAATACATTTTAAAAGTCACCTTCCCAACACTGATCATAGCCCAGGATTGGCCAGACGTTAGGACGACGCACCAATCAGATTGAAGGGACCCAGGTGCTAGTTTGAATTGAATCCACCAATCACAGGAGAGGTCTGTCAGACTGAGGCTTGCATGTACAAACAAGAATCAGCAGCAGGGATTTAAACAATCCGTGTATCATTCGTCAATTTGTTTTTCAAAATAAAACCGAAAATAACAAAATGAAAAAAAAACAACTATCTTCTTTATTATTTGTCTCCAAAACCAAAATTTAAAAAAATGATTTCGATTTAGTGTTTAAATGATTAATGGAAAAACGGATAACGGCCATTTCACGTTTCTGTGACTTAAACTGCGATGCCGGACTTTTGCGCCGCATACGGACTGAACCAGGACTGAACTAGGACAAAAACAGGACTAAACCAGGATTGAAACCAGGAGAAAAACAGGACTAAACCAGGACTGAAACCAGGAGAAAAACAGGACTAAACCAGGACTGAAACCAGGAGAAAAACAGGACTAAACCAGGACTGAAACCAGGAGAAAAACGGGACTAAACCAGGACTGAAACCAGGACTGAACCAGAACTGAACCAGGAGGTGCGCCTGCGTAGTTCGTCGGGACTGGTGCAGAGCTCTGCACCCCATGGGGAGCAGCCGTTGCCCGATCGTGCTTTGCAAACACTTCTCTCTGAAGTCCAAGTTTAATCCCGGTTTAGTCCTGGTTTACTCCTGGTTTACTCCTGGATCAGTCCTGGTTCAGTTCTGGTTTAGACCTGGTTTAGTCCTGGTTTAGTCCTGTTTCAGTCCTGGTTTAGTCCTGGTTTAGACTTGGTTTAGTCCTGGTTTACTCCTGGTTTACTCCTGGATCAGTCCTGGTTCAGTTCTGGTTTAGACTTGGTTTAGTCCTGGTTTACTCTTGGATCAGTCCTGGTTCAGTCCTGGTTTAGACTTGGTTTAGTCCTGGTTTACTCCTGGATCAGTCCTGGTTCAGTTCTGGTTTAGACCTGGTTTAGTCCTGGTTTAGTCCTGTTTCAGTCCTGGTTTAGTCCTGGTTTAGCCTTGGTTTAGTCCTGGTTTAGACTTGGTTTAGTCCTGGTTTACTCCTGGATCAGTCCTGGTTCAGTCCTGGTTTAGACTTGGTTTAGTCCTGGTTTACTCCTGGTTTACTCCTGGATCAGTCCTGGTTCAGTTCTGGTTTAGACTTGGTTTAGTCCTGGTTTACTCCTGGATCAGTCCTGGTTTAGTCCTGTTTCAGTTCTGGTTTAGACCTGGTTTAGTCACGGTTTAGTTCTGTTTCAGACCTGTTTCAGTCCTGGTTCAGTCCGTACGCGGCGCAAAAGTCTGGCATCGCAGTTTCTGTCACGTAAACGTCCATTCTTCATTTAAACACAAAATCGAAAACTGAAAAAAACAAATCGTTATCTGTTTTTTTGGGGGGGGTTTTTTCGGTTTTGGAGACAAATAATGAAGAAAATAGTTGTTTTTCTTTTCTTATTTTTGGTTTTATTTTGAAAAAACGAACGAACGAACGACACACGGATTTTAAACATGTGTAGTTATACGGCTACAGGAGGAGCTGGTAACACACAGGGATAAAGAGGAGGGCATCAGATACACCGGGATAAAGAAGTAGACTATGGGAGGGCATGTGACATAAAGGGATATAAAAGTTCCCCATCTGGCATCTGACCCACACAGGAAAAAAAAAAAAAAAAAAAAAAAAAGCCTCTGACACACAAGGATAAAAAGTATAGGAGGACATCTGATAAACCTTTCCCTTTAGGATCATTATCGCGGCTCCCTCTCTCCTAGCAACACTCACAACACTGCATTACCCGTGTTATCTGTCAGCACCTTGAGCCGGGTCCTTGGGGTGCCGGGGTCCTTTGGGTGCTGACATTTAAGTGCCCGCGTCACCCTGTTATTATGGCCTCCGTGTAAGCGCGCGCCGCCCGCCCGCCCACAGGCACAAATTAATAATAGTCCGTGTTTGTTATGGCGTGGTTATTTTTAGCGTCTCGGGAAATGGCATATGCAAATGAGATGCAAAGTGGAACGCAGAGAGATATTTTTGATTTTCGATAAATATAGAATTTTATGTGTTTTTGCCGCAATGAAAGCAGCTGGGAGCGGTTAGCGGCTCTGAGAGTTTATGTATTTATATATATATATATATGTGTGTATATGTGTGTGCTGTGGCTTTAAAGGGACAACGTGTCACTTTTTATGTATGTAAGGAGGGAGGTGGTGGGATGATGAAGGAGTGAGGGAGTGAAGGAGTGAGACAGTGAAGGAATGAGGTAGTGAAGGCGTGAGGTGGTGTTGGAGTGAAGCGGTAAAGTGGTGAGGGGGTGACGGAGTGAGGTAGTGAACCGGGTGAGATAGTAAAGAAGTGAGGCAGTGAAGGAGTGAGGTGGTGAAAGGGTGAGGCAGTGAAGGAGTGAAGCGGTGAAGGAGTGAGGTAGTGATGGAGTGAAGTGGTGAAGGAGTGGAATAGTGAAGGAGTGAGGCGGTAAAAGCGTGAGGTAGTGAAGGAGACGGTGGTGAAGAAGTGAGGTAGTAAAGACGTGAGGTAGTGAAGGAGTGAGGTGGTGAAGTGGTGAAGGAGTGGAGTAGTGAAGGAGTGAGGTGGTGAAGGAGTGGAATACTGGAGGAGTGAGGCGGTGAAGGAATGAAGTGGTGAAGGAAAGAAGGAGCAGAGTAGTGAAGGAGTGCGGCCGTGAAAGGATCAGGTAGTGAAGGAGTGAAGTGGTGATGGGGTGGAGTAGTGAAGGAGTGAGGTGGTGAAGGAGTGGAATAGTGAAGGAGTGAGGCGGTAAAAGCGTGAGGTAGTGAAGGAGACGGTGGTGAAGAAGTGAGGTAGTAAAGACGTGAGGTAGTGAAGGAGTGAGGTGGTGAAGGCGTGAGGTGGTTAAGGAGACGAGTGTAGTAGTGAAGGTGTGAGGCAGTGAAGGAGTGAGTTAGTGAAGGAGTGAGGTAGTGATGGAGTGAAGTGGTGAAGGAGTGAGGTGGTGAAGGAGTGGAATAGTGAAGGAGTGAGGCGGTAAAAGCGTGAGGTAGTGAAGGAGACGGTGGTGAAGAAGTGAGGTAGTAAAGACGTGAGGTAGTGAAGGAGTGAGGTGGTGAAGTGGTGAAGGAGTGGAGTAGTGAAGGAGTGAGGTGGTGAAGGAGTGGAATACTGGAGGAGTGAGGCGGTGAAGGAATGAAGTGGTGAAGGAAAGAAGGAGCAGAGTAGTGAAGGAGTGCGGCCGTGAAAGGATGAGGTAGTGAAGGAGTGAAGTGGTGATGGAGTGGAGTAGTGAAGGAGTGAGGTAGTGATGGAGTGAAGTGGTGAAGGAGTGGAATAGTGAAGGAGTGAGGTAGTGATGGAGTGAAGTGGTGAAGGAGTGGAGTAGTGAAGGAGTGAGGTGGAGGAGTGAGGCAGTGAAGGAATGAAGTGGTGAAGGACAGAAGGAGCAGAGTAGTGAAGGAGTGAGGTAGTGATGGAGTGAAGTGGTGAAGGAGTGAGGTGGTGAAGGAGTGGAATGGTGAAGGAGTGAGGTGGCGATGGAGTGGAATAGTGAAGGAGTGAGGCGGTAAAAGCGTGAGGTAGTGAAGGAGACGGTGGTGAAGAAGTGAGGTAGTAAAGACGTGAGGTAGTGAAGGAGTGAGGTGGTGAAGTGGTGAAGGAGTGGAGTAGTGAAGGAGTGAGGTGGTGAAGGAGTGGAATACTGGAGGAGTGAGGCGGTGAAGGAATGAAGTGGTGAAGGAAAGAAGAAGCAGAGTAGTGAAGGAGTGCGGCCGTGAAAGGATGAGGTAGTGAAGGAGTGAAGTGGTGATGGGGTGGAGTAGTGAAGGAGTGAGGTGGTGAAGGAGTGGAGTAGTGAAGGAGTGAGGTGGTGAAAAGCGTGAGGGTAGTGTGAAGGAGACGGTGGTGAAGAAGTGAGGTAGTAAAGACGTGAGGTAGTGAAGGAGTGAGGTGGTGAAGTGGTGAAGGAGTGGAGTAGTGAAGGAGTGAGGTGGTGAAGGAGTGAGGTGGTGAAGAAGTGAGGTGGTGAAGAACTGAGGCAGTGAAGGAGTGAGGCGGTGATGGAGTGGAATAGTGAAAGAGTGAGGCGGTAAAAGCGTGAGGTAGTGAAGGAGACGGTGGTGAAGAAGTGAGGTAGTAAAGATGTGAGGTAGTGAAGGAGGTGGTGAAGTGGTGAAGGAGTGGAGTAGTGAAGGAGTGAGGTGGTGAAGAACTGAGGCAGTGAAGGAGTGAGGCGGTGATGGAGTGAGGTGGTGAAGAAGTGAAGTAGTGAAAGGATGAGGTAGTGAAGGAGTGAAGGGGTGAAGGAGTGGAATAGTGGAGGAGTAAAATGGTAAAAGCGTGAGGTAGTGAAGGAGTCACGTGGTGAAGGAGGTGAGGTAGTGAAGGAGTGAGGTTGTGAAGGAGTGAGTTAGTGAAGGAGTAGAGTAGTGAACTGGTGAGGTAGTGAAGGAGTGAAGTGGTGAAGTGATGAAGGAGTGAGGTAGTGAACTGGTGAGGCAGTGAAGGAGTGAGGTGGTGATGGAGTGGAGTAGTGAAGAAATGAGGTGGTGAAGGAGTGAAGGTGAAGGAGTGGAGTAGTGAAGGGGTGAGGTAGTGAAGGAGTGAGGTGGTGAAGCAATGAGGTGGTGAAAGAGTGAGTGAAGGGGTCAGGTAACGAAGGAGTAGAGTAGTGAAGGAGTGAGATGGTGAAGGCGTGAGGTGGTTAAGGAGACGAGTGGAGTAGTGAAGGTGTGAGGCAGTGAAGGTGTGAGGTAGTGAAGGAGTGAGTTAGTGAAGGAGTGAGGTAGTGAAGGAGTGAGGTGGTGAAGGAGTGAGATAGTGAAGGAGTGAGGTGGTGAAAGGGTGAGGCAGTGAAGGAGTGAAACGGTGAAGGAGTGAGGTAGTGAAAGAGTGGAATAGTAAAGGAGTGAGTCAGTAAAAGCGTGAGGTAGTGAAGGAGATGGTGGTGAAGAAGTGAGGTAGTGAAGGAATGGAGTAGTGAAGGAGTGAGGTAGTGAAGAAGTGAGGTGGTGAAAGAGTGAAGTGGTGAAGTGGTGAAAGAGTGGAGTAGTGAAGGAGTGAGACAGTGGAGGAGTGAGGCAGTGAAGGAGTGCGGTGGTGAAAGGATGAGGTAGTAATGGAGTGGTGAAGGAGTAAAGATGAAGGACTGAGGTGGTGAAGGAGTGCGTTGGTGAAAGGATGAGGTGGTGAAGGAATGAAATGGTGAAGAAGTGAGCAGGGAGGAGTGAGGGAGTGAAGGAGTGGTGAAGGAGTGAAGGTGATGGAGTGAGGTAGTGAAGGAGTGATTGGCGTATACCATTTTTTTAATATAGTGTGGTTTAAATGGTCCATATAACAGGATTTTCTGATCTATATTCTAATGTTTTCTCACCACAAACAGACCTGAAGTTGTGTTTTGTTTCATTCACACATGTTTAACACAAACCCTGCATATTTAGGACCTTTTTAAGACTTCTAAGACCCTGCAGCTACCCTCTTCATGACATCACAAGGTGGAACGGAGCATTTTGAGGTTTGGACATGTAGATGAACTAATAATAAAGAGTTACTAAAATGTGTGAATGAAACAAAACACAACTCCAGGTCTGTTTTTGAGGAGGTAACAATGTTCTAACATGCCTTAAAGCTCACAAGAGTCACTGAGTGCGTATACATGCACATCAATAACCCGGTTATGATCGGGTTTTTTGAGTATCCCGGTTTCTTGATGGTGCATGTATACGCAGTAACCCGGTTTCAGTAACCCGGTTATGGCAGTATCCCGGTTATTAGAAACCGGGTTACTGTAGCTGGTTTATTCCGATAGTAACCGGGTTACTTGTGGCATGTATACGCAGTACCCCGGTTACTGCAACATAAAGTTGAGTGCGCATGCGTCCAAAAGACACTTTCCAGCCTTTCACCACAACAGTAGTCACATAAATAAATTGACCAACATAAATAAAGTGACCAAACGAGTGAAATGACTGTAAAATAAAGAGCTGCGCTAAACCTGCACACGTACAATCTGCACTCGTACGACCTGCACTCGTGTGACGCTGAAAAGCTAAAACATGAACTATCTCCTATACTCTATATGCACGAAACACACTTACCATCATTAGCGCCTCTTCTGTCACAGAAATGGCGCAAGGAGCGAGTTGTTTTTATCGCCGCTAACAGTTTATGCTAATTAGCCAAACGGTCTTAAGTTTCGTTTCTGTAAAACGTAAACAAATGTGATCACAGCTGAATTATCTGATCAAACGGGCTGATGTGTCTATAGTGTTTATGGTTTATATGTTGTAAAGTTGAGTTTATTTATGCAGAAGATTTTAATGAAGAATCTGCACAGTGGATTGTGGGAGATCTCGTAGCTCCTTAGCTTCTTATGCTAAAGGAGCTCACGGTTTGTATTTTTCCTGGTTTATGAAATTGATTTAAGTTAATTTTTGCGCCTGCGCATTTGTAAGATTATGTCAAGAAACCGGGATACTCCATTTGATCATGTATACGCGGATATGAGTATCCCGGTTTCTCAGTGCGCATGTAAACGCAGTAACCCGAATACTGACAGAACCGGGATATGGCTAATAACCGGGATACTGATGTACATGTATACGCACTCATTTTTGTGTAATATGGGAATTTAAAATGAACCATTAAAGGCCCACAGAGCTACTAATATGCAAAAAGTGGAGTTTCCTGGACAAATGTGAGCGGCTATTGAGGCCTGGAGATGAAGGTTGAAGAATTTCAGATGTCTTATTCTCACGCTCTTGGTTTTCTGGACTTGTGAGTGAACGTCGCTTTATTCTCGTGGTTCTTTTGAAGTGTTTGAGCCGATAGGAATGGCAGATACGAGCCCGGGCTGTGAGAGTATCCATGTCCAGGAAACGTGTCCGTCAGAAGCTGAGTGACAGGAGGGGGGGCGGGACGGGAAACAGGAAGTCACCGCGCGCAGGTCAGGCGGTCAGATTGGGAAAGTGTCACGAAGGGTTAAAGCTCTGAAGTGGAGTTTGTTTTGTTAATGTCTGGACACTGACAGATCTGGACTCCGCGGGTCTGGGTCAGTGTTTACGCTGTCGTCTCAGAATGATGTGCTGGTTTAAATATCGGTTCATCTTGTGTTTTGGCAAGTTTACATTTTATAACTCAGCTCCTCAGATTTTAATGGAGCTTTAAAAAACAGCAACATAAAAAAAAGAAAACAGTTTTATCAGAATGTGTAAACGGAAATAGAAATGTACAACCACATTCTCCATGGATACATTTTTTTAAAGGGCGGACTGCATCGCCTAAGGAAGATTATTTAGGTGGAAACAAGCAGAAAGAAGGTTTAAGAGTCAGGTTTGTGGAGATGCAAGCCCGCTCATAGTAAGGACATGTGTTTTTCTATGTTTTTTACTACAATAAACAAAACAAAACACAAAAAACCCAACATGTTTTTTTATTCTCGTCTGTTCTTTGGCTTAAAAAGTGTTGGACTAGAGCTTTAATATTTTAGTTTTTTGAGGATTTTTTTTTTAAGTCATATCTTCATTCATTTAGATTTCATTCATTTAATTTAATTTATTTATTTGTTTGAGCCAGGTACAGCAAAATTTTAAAAAAACAATGCAAAAACAGGGATATATACATGAACATATTTGGGACCTGGTGCTCAAAAGGAGTAGGATCGTAAATCGTAAATCGTAAATGCCTTAAAGGTGCATTGCTCTAGTCTTATTCATCAGCCGGTTTCACTTTGTGGAAACCGTCTGACCTCACAGCATTAGGATTTGTTCACTCGACAGTAGGCAGGTGCTTTTTTTATTTAACCAGTCGCTGCTGTTTGGTCCTGACGTATATTAAGTGCCGGAACACTCAGTGGTGTCCAAGTAATTGCGGTACAACAGCAAACAAAGCAGAGAGTGAACGTGTCTGTCAACGATCATCGTCGTTTCTACGAGGTGAACTTGCGAATTAAAGGTGCAATAAAAATGCAAAGTTTGTATTTGACAAAGAAAGTCCAAAGGAGGACAGCGTATGCAGTCTGATATCGCAACTCGGATTGGTTCAGCTCTTCAATGATTGGCAGGTGCGCGGTTTACAACTTCCAGGGTTTTTGTGAACCATCTAGTGTATTCTGATTCCTGACCTAGTCGCTGGAGAGAAATGAAATTCAGCGGAGGGACTAGGTCACACCAGCCTGGCTATCATTGTGTAATTTTTCTGGTAGAGGGTCCGTCAAACAATTTTCTCCATGGATTTTTTTTTTTTTTTAATGTTTATTAAGGACATCACAATCGCATTAGACAAGGCAGATGCATTGCTTTTTGATTTAGCACAAGTGCGAGTTTTCAACACCTGTCCATATAAAAAATATAAACTACATGCAGATACAGATAAAATATAAATACAGTATACTGTCAGTGAATGCATTTTTGATTGGAAATATACAATAATTTTAATTTATTTTAAATTTGTTGTTATTGGTTTCCAATTTTAAATCAGCTGGTAAACACTTAAAAAGAAAAAGACTGACCAAGAGTTTGTCTTGTACGTAGGAACAACACAATTACCACAAGTAGAAGCTTTTGTGTTTGCTCTGTGTGAACTTTTTATGATCCTGGCAAATTCTGAATACAGTGGTTTATCACAGTTAAGACACTTAAAAATAATTTTAAGATGATTAAAATTGGTAAAATGTTCAGAGTTAAAAAGTTTATGTTTCTTTAAAATCTCGGAGCGGTGCCAGTGTCTGGGCTTTTTATCAATTTGTATAATGAACAGAAACAGAGCGGTTTCAATGTGGTTGAGGAGGCCTGCGACCATGAGATGTTATAACAATATCTGTAATGTTTCACAGTGTGGCATTAAACCGTTCTATCTTCATGGAGACCAAACCAGACCAAGTTACAGGTCAGATCTGTGGCGAGACGACTCCACTCACAGTCAGAATTCCTATTTTTCTTGGTATTTTTGAGCTTTAAACGCACCTGTAATTGAATAAATGTAAAGTAGAGCTGTTTAAAGTCACACTGTGGAACATTCCAGGCACAGCAATGAC